TCCTTCTGCTGAAAGAGATAGTCTTATACCTGAACTCTCAATTCCATCTTCTCACCACCCCAACTTGATATAACCATTACCTGTGATCTTCCTTATTTTATGTTGTACTCAGCCCTTCTGCCTACCACAATGTTTTGCTTATCATGATCAAATCAATTCCCTTCTGCTCCTTCCTTAGTTCTGTTCTCACTGCTATCTTTACCTCCATCCTATCTCCATTCACCACCAAACCACGTGAAAGCTCAATCCACACCTACTGCATTGACTTTCACTACAGACTCTCTTCCTTACCCTTCAGATCGGATGTGTGCCATGCTTTCCTAGGCTGGAATTGCTCCTGCATTATCATTAGTGTTTTCTCAGTTCTATTCTTCTCCACCTCTCTCTACCTACTGACCTGTTCATTAATTTTTTCTAATGGAATCTCTCCTCCTTTTGTCGTTAAGCTGATGGAACCCTCAAGTTTTTCCACCTGTTTCTGTTTCTTCTTGGTTGATTCTTCTCTCTCTGGCTTTGTGCTAACTAAACACATATGCTTTCTGAGGGCCTGACTTCAGGACCCATGAGCTGTCCTGTCATTTCAATATTTTTACCTTGATGTTCAGGTCATATTGATAAGTTGCTGGACTTTGGATTTGCACAATGTCTGTGCCTTTGCTCTTGTTATTTCCTCTTGCCTTCATTTTCCAAATATTTACTACAATCACCTTCTACCAATTAGTCGTCAAATATCATACCCTTTATGAAACTTTTTTTGAGTCTCCCAGATGAAAACTCTACCTCTCTCTGAAATCAATTTATAATTTATTTATACATCTAGCATGAAATGTTTTATAATGTGGTCATTTGAATAAGGCCAGACACATAGTTGGCCCTCACCAACAATCTTCTTCCTTGAAGGAATAATAGAATGAAGGAAAGATTCAAAGATACTTTGTTCCCTGGATATTTGTGTAGAACTGCAACCAAATAGCACATGCACAGCCTGTAACCACCAGGATCGTGAGTATAAATTGCAGTTTACCTCCACGAGACCTCATGCATCAAGCTCTGGGTGTGTTTTGTGCCATTCCCCACTTCCACCCCCTTTTTGAAGAATGATGAATCAGACTCATCATGGTATTCGATTAATTCCACACAGCTGACTCCTGAGGGAGTTTGTACCCAGTGTCCTCTAACTGATGATCAATCATGCTCATGTGGTTGGAACCCAAGGCAGCAGGCAGCAGGCCCGTGACATGCTCTAGGTTGTTGAACAGAGAGTGTCCCCATCCAAGCAGGAAAGGTTCCAGTGACCTTTGATGGCATTTGAGAGAAGTCATTTGCTCTGGTGTTTCTGAGGCCATATTGATCTCTGCCTAGGATTCAATTTTAGACAAACAGGAGACATAATTTATGTAAACTGGGCAGGTAATTAAACTCTCCTCCCTGGCAGAAAGGTCACAGCAGAATATTTAAACTTTCATTCCTAAGTGGAATCAGTTAGCTAAAAAAAGAAAAGGAATCTCATTGGGAGTGTCATGTAGCCAACCACTACCTTATGAATTTTATGACCCAGATTATCTTCCTAAGAATAGGTTGGAGTTCCTTTCACAGAAGTTGCTATAAAAAGGTGAGAATACTCATTTAGCACTACGTTTGCATATTCAAAATGACTGAGGGGTGGAAACTTGGTGTTAGAATGTGAGGAAACCTTTCAATGACTTTTTCAGAGAGATTTCTAAACAATATTGGATTTAAATAAAAAATGGCAAGTACTGCATAAAGAATTTCCTCCCCCCTGCCCCCCCCAACCATTTGAGTCATTCACCCATATAATGTCCCATTATACTTAAATAATTATATTCATTTTCTACATACAAGAACAATATCCTGTATAATCATGAAATAACCATCTGAATCAAAAGCTAACATTGGTACATTACTATTGTCTAATCCTCAGACCCCATTTAAGTTTCTCCAAGTGTCAAGGTGCTAGCAAAAAGGCGCAGTTTAGTGTTGTTCTTGGATTTCACATCTATTTAGTTTCTTTTAGTCTGGGACAATTTCTCTTATTTTATTTGGGGGGTGGCTTTCAAGACCTGGATATGTTTGAAAGATCACAGGCCAGTTATTTTGTAGAGTGTCCCTTGCTTTGGGTTTATTTGGTGTTTGTACATTATCAGATTCAATCTGTGCACCCTGGGCTGGGATTATCATTGAAGCGATGCTGTCTGTCTTGTCGTTTCCTGTCAGGTCGTCCATGGTTTCCACTGCTCCCAGTACCAGTGATGTTAACTTCAATCACTTGATTAAGTGGACTCTGCCAGGCTCCTCCACTGTAAAATGATTCCTCTTTCCATTGTGGTTACTGTGTCTTGAAGGGAAGTATTATGTATGAAACCATGTAAATATCCATGACTCATCAACCTTTCAATTTATGCATGATGTATTTACATCAGTGTAGACATTTAAAGTTCTTCTTTTATTCAATAGGTTATCATCCATTGCTTTATTATTTTCTGATGCACTGTGGAACCCCTTTTGAGCTGGCCTATGTGTCACCATCCATCTTTGAGGACTTCTTTATATTCAGAAAAGATGTTCTAGGCCAGTGATGGCGAACCTATGACATGCGTGTCAGAGGTGACACGCGAACTCATTCTTTTGGTTGATTTTTCTTTGTTAAATGACATTTAAATATATAAAATAAATATCAAAAATATACATCTTTGTTTTACTATGGTTGCAAATATCAAAAAATTTCTATATGTGACACGGCACCAGAGTTAAGTTAGGGTTTTTCAAAATGCTGACACGCCGAGCTCAAAAGGTTCGCCGTCACTGTTCTAGGCTCATCTTGTGCTTCCTCTGTCCCACCCTGGAATCAGTCATTTTTCTCCATAGAAACTTTGATCATTCCTTTTACTGGAAAACAGTGTTGAGCAGCCAAGGTGTGAGCGCTGTGTGTGTGACGGTTGCTTTTGGAATGACGCTGCTCTTAGTCCCTTTTTGTGTTCAGAGCTAAGGAATATATCACATACATTAGATATACATGTGCACCCATTTACTTCCTACTCATTTCTGTATGGATTTTGTTGTATATTAAAAGCCATGATGTTACATCGATACCTCCAATTCCAATTCAACATTACAGAGTTCATTCTAATTTTCTTCCTTTGGATGGATGGAGATACACACACACACACACACACACACACACATATAGACTAGTATATATATATGTGTGTGTGTGTGTGTGTATACACACATATATAGACTAGTGTGTGTGTGTATATATATATATATATATATATATAGAGAGAGAGAGAGAGAGAGAGAGAGAGAGAGAGAGAGAGACATTGATATGAGAGCGAAACATCAATGAGCTGCCTTCTGATTGCGCCCACAACCCTGGCATGTGCCCCAACTTGAATCAAACTGGCAACCCTTTGGTGCAGAGATGATGCCCAACTGGCCGAGCCACACTAACCAGGGCTCCTTTTATTGTGACCTATTTTTTAAAAATAATTTTTTATTGATTTCAGAGAGGAAGTGAGAGGGCGCGCGAGAGAAACATCAATGAAGAAAGAGAATCACTGACTGGCTGCCCCCTGTAGGGCCCCCAGTGGGGATCAAGCCCGCAACCTGGCCATGTGCCCTAACCAGGACTTGAACTGTGACCTCCTGGTTCATAGGTCAATGCTCAACCACTGAGCCACACAGATTGACCTCTTTTTTTAAATAGTGAGAATACTGACTCCATTATCCGTAATGCATTTACTTATGTGATCATGCCCGCTGTATGCAGCCAGTCTCCTGTCACAACTGCCACCCCTCACATTTTCAAAGATCACCTGACCACCCTGCTCGGGCTCTCATGCCCTCCACGGTGCCACTGTCAGTCATGGACACCCCCCCACCCTGCCCAGGCTCTGACACATCTCTCTGCCAACCCCGCTGCCCCTCTCCCGGCGGCCTGTCTTCCTTACCTCGCGTGGGCTCCAGTCCCCATGGTTGGGCCACGGCTGCTGCTATGCCCCTGCAGGGACACCTTCACCCTGTGCTGGCAGCAATACCTTGCATTGGGCCACACTCTCCATGTAGAGACCTTCCCCACCCTCTCAGGCTCTGGCACTGTGCTGGGGCGTCCTCTGCACCAACACATCCTCATCCTTCTCGGGTTCTGACAGCCCATACCTGTCGCCAGGACTGCTGGCCCCTATGTGCATGCTCCCTGCAGCCTGCTTGGGCCCCAGGAACCCGACAGGCTAACACTCTCTTGCAAATGCCCTCCAGAACCCACTCAGGCTCTGACGGCCCAGGGCAGGCTGCCACTCTGCTGGGTGCCCTCCAACATCTGCCTGGGCTCCCACCCTGTGTGCGGGGCAGCCCTGCCAGGCAGACCCTCCTTCCTTCACTCAGCTTCCAAATCCTGTGCGGGGCCACCTCCCGCTGCCCCTTCACCCCCAGACACCTGCCTTCCTCAGCCTTACCTTTGCATTGAATTATTTGGAATGGAATGGGGAGAGACGCTGTTTGATAATTATTTTTAGAAAAACAATTTTGAAACTTTTAATTTAAAAATGAATCTGATCTCTTTTTTCCGTTGGTGGTGACCCGCCTGACAGGATTTGGAAGCTGAGTGGTGTAAGGAGGGTCTGCCTGGCATTGTCGGAACTCGATCCTCAAGAAGCTAGGATACTCTGGCCTGCCTTTCTAGTTTTCAAAATAATTTTAACCTCTTTGTTATTTCATGATTTAGTAAAAACATCTGGTTTCCATCATCTTCTTAGGTAGGTGTGATCTCCTGACATTATGATATTAACATCTGTAAAAGCAGTGTTCCCAGCAGAAAACAGATGGCACATGGAAATCAAGGTAATTAAAGTGGAGTCTAATACAGGAGAAAACCCACCAGGGATCATGCGGAACATGGGAGGCAGTGACCACAGAGCGACTTCCCCAGTCCTGTCTCATGTTTGGGTACCTGCTCACAGTCCTGTGGTTCTGTCACTCACCCAAGTCCCAACACGGTGGGCTGTGCTGGTCCCCTTCTCAGCAAGAAGCATCTCATCCATGCGCAGTCTTCCCAAGCGACTTTCTGCAACCCGAAGCTTTCTTCTCTGTATACAGTGTGGCTTCCCTCAAGTCCCACTCTGTGCTGTGCTCCACAGTCACTCCTCCAAGTTCCAGTTCCTTCTACCTTAAAAACAAATAAGAGATAGAAAGAAAGAAAAATAAGCAGCTGTGGACGTTCTAAGAAATGCATTCCTCCCTCTGGCATCAGTGCGGTTGCCAGGGTTATCATCTCCCTGGGACTGAAGCAAGCTCCACTGTTTTGAAACTCAGAGCCTGACAGTGATGGTTTCCTTCTGAGCATCGTTAGGTAGAGAATGGCTACAGGACAATCAAGAACAACCAGAGGTTATTAGGAACCAGCACGTTTGCTTAACATTTATATAGATTCTCTCACTGCACGCACAGCTGTGAGATAGGTATTAGCATCTCTATGTCATAGGTGAGGAAACTGGGGCTTTAATAAGCTGAACAATTTGCCTGCAGACACACAGCTTGTCGGGGGCAGATCCGGGACTCAAAGCGAGCTTTACCTACTCAAACTACCTCCCCCCCAACTATCTCATGGGGTTGCTCCATCTCCCTCAAATATATGATAAGCTCTAATTTACTCACACAATATATGCTCTCAGAGTTCTTGAGAAGGATCTGAAAATCATACCTTGTTTTGAAAACTAGGGCCATTTATATTTGGCATCTTAAGGAATGTAAGCTATTTAAAATGTGGAATATTATAAGTTACATATCTAGAAGGAACATTAAGGTAGCGCAAACCTGGTTATTTCCCAGGCATCCCCCAAGTTCCCTTCTCCATGGCCCCATCTTTCTCTGTTCATGTGTCTATCACAGCACTTAGCTGATATTCTTGATTCAAATATCATGTCTGTTTCTTTAAGGTGAGCTCATGTGTGCTAGAGCAGCGAGGTCGTGCCTTATAGCTCTCCATGGCTCACCATAGCACAGCATGGTGCCAAGAGCTCTCTAGTTGCTCAAGCAATGTTTACTGAGCAGACGTGTGAATATGCATATATGAAAGTCCATGATACACCAGTTGCTAATTATGTGTGTTAATCACATCAAATCATTTCTTTAGATTTCACGTCAAGTGTAATTCACATTGAATTGACATTGAGGTCATGCGGGAGAGAACAGCCAGCCTTCTCTGTTTTAGTTGAAGATAGTTTCTCTGTAGGTCCATAGTGGCACAGCAGAGTCACCAGTAAAAAGAGAAACCTCAGCGGCTTGGTTGACTGGAAGTTAGTCAGAATGGATTTGCCATTTGGAGAGTCAACAGCAGCGAATTCATCTTGGTATTAGTCAACTGAGTGGCCCTGTGGTTGCTGCTTCCAATAACCATTCCCTGTTTACTCACCACCCTACTGACCCCTTTTCCTGCTCACTTAACTTTCTTACCAGAAAATACGCTTCAGATATTTTGTCGTGACGTAACTTTGGATGTCCAGACTTACATCTACATAGATTCATAATATTCTGTTCTGTAAGGTTTGTATCAGTGGGCATAATTTCATTCCAAACATTACTATTATTAAATTGGCTTAAATTTGTCTAATTTATTTTTATTTCCTTTATCTTAAATATGTTTGTAACATTTTTTTTTTTTGGTCTGAAGTTCTAGTCATAGAGACTGTAATGATAATCACATGTATGTTAGAAGATTCTATATTTTACAAAGAGCTATCCTATTTATTAGCTGTTGGGGGTAGACACAGTTGTATACAAATCCATGTGCATTAAGAGATTGGAATGAGTTCATCACCAAGGTCCCTTGATCTGTTTAAGGATGGGTACTTACAGTAGACTTTTCTGATAGTGATTATGAGACCTCTTGAACATTCTCAGCACTCTAAGTGATGTGAAAAATGTATCCCCGATGAAAGCCATTCCTGAAAATAATTTCTTTCTGTAGTGTTATAGTGTATACCCCACGGGGCCAGTCATCCGAGGAAGGTGGAGGCTACAGGGCACTGTTGACCTGGCAGGCTGGGGACTGGGAGTTCTGGGCAGGTGTCATGGCCGCATGCTTCTTATCCTTGGAGCTCAAGACTGAGCCCAAGGGGCTGCTATTAAGTATATTCAAAGGAAATGCCAAACAAGTTATACCTCAAACCCTTCCTTTTGGATGGCCAAGTCAATTTGAGTTACTTGAAGAATGACAGCTAAGACAGAATCAGTAGAGACTTAGGTGAGAGGAATTTGGAAGTGAGCAGAGTCTGGGAGCAATTGCAATGTGAGAATGCAAATGAGCATGCGGCATCTTACCTAGTCCTGTAGCCACTGCTTTGGTCTCTCCGGGAATATGTAAAGCCATTGTTCTCAACCTGACTTCACATTGGAAACATGTGGGTTGCTTTTGCAAATATACAGATGCCTAGGTTTCAGTTCAATTGGTTTAGGGCTGGCCTGGGCATGGGTATTTTTTAAAGTTCCTCAGATGACTTGATCAGATGAGAACCACTAATCACAGAGAAATAACGTTTAACCTGCAGCACTTATCAATTCTGTCTGTTGTTTCATAAACACATATATTCTATGGCTTCTTGTGGAAGATGGGTAATGAATAAAGTCAATATAATGATGCACCATGAGGTAGGTACAGGCAGGGAAGAACTCTTGCTTTGGTCCATTTAGTATTATTGATTTCTGGTGTGATGAGTTCTTAGGATATGAACTCCTTAGAGATGGGAACTGTTTCAGGCAGGATCTGGGTAGCGAACAGATGGTGCTCTCAAATTGTGTACTTGCAGGGAAATTTAAATACATATTTACAAATGTGTTAGTGGGTGTGCAGAAACCCCAGGGGATAATTACCACCATGGGAGCCTTCAGCACTTCTGTCCTGAAATGGGAAAAGGGAAGGCGCAGTTACTGGGAGCCAGTCAGGAGAGGGCTGCAACTCTCAGCTGAAGGAAGCACTTAGCCCTCACCCATCCCTAAGAGATGGAGCCAGGGGACTAAGTCCTCTGACCACATTCCCTCTCTCCAATGTCCGGCTGATGCTCTTGATTGGTCAAACCCAACCAGAACCCAGAAGGCAAGAAAACCCATTGATACCGTTCATGTAGGTCTGCCTTGTAGGGCACAGACCAGGGAGCACGTGGGGAAGAAGGGAGAGTGAATCTGGAAGAGTCAGTAGAAGAGACCCACACAGTGACCAAGAGTTCTTCCTCTATGTGATCCCTCCCCTCCAATACCTACAGTATCTGGTGTATATAATACAATATTCTCAACAAGAACTGTGTGAGTTATTGTAATTAATGACACATTCGGTTACAAGAAGAGAAGAAATATTTATTGGCTGCCTTCCATGTGTCAGGTGTCCTGGTTGGTTTTGTTGAATCTCACAAGAACTTGGTGAGATGATTTATTATTATTATCCCTGGACAGTTGATAAAACAGCATGTCTGAGAGGTTAACTTAAGGCAAGGATCCATGAGAAGCCAATGGTGGAGCCAGGAACTCCTGACCAAGCCTGGCTGTCTTTGAATCCAAGCTCTTTCCCTAACACCATGCAGCCCTCTTACTCCAAAGAGAAGTACAGGTCATCACTACAGGAAATCCTGAGCCACCTCTCTTTGGTGAGATCAATACAAAGTCTGATTCAATTCATTGTATTAGGTTCCAGGAAAATAGAAGTTCAGGGCTTGTTCCTGCCCTTATAGAGTTAGTAATTACACACACACACACACACACACACACACACACACACACACACACACAGCAGGGGTCAATGTTATTGCACAAAATTCAAAATAAAAGCTGTAATTCATAATTAAATCATTTATTCATTCATTCACCAGTGCTTGTTTTAGACCTGGAAAATATAGCTGTACTAATAAATAATCCAAAGTCCTTGAATTACATAAAACTTACATTTTTGTGGGAGCAAGGAAGAAAAATAATGGACAGTGGTCAGTATTATGCAGAGAAGTAAAACAGGTGATGTGATGGAGTTATGGATAGTTGAATTAACTGGGGTGGTCAAGATGGGCTCTTCTGAGGGTTTTATAATGTAAGCTGAAATCTGCATGGTCTGAAGGAACCAGCTGCAAAATATCAAGGGCATGCAGATTTCCAACAAAGGGAACATCCAGTGTATGTCTCAAAGGCCAGAATCCTAGGAAATGAAAGAAGGCTGCAGAAGCTGGAGAATGGTGAGCTCAGAGAACACTTACGTGATATGAAATCAGAAAGTGTGCAGGGGCTAGACCATAGAGGATTTTGGAACCTATCCATGGATGATGCAAAAATCACTGAAGGCTTGGAGTGGGGGAGTGGGGAAATCTGATGCAAAGTTTAAAAGCTTTACTCTAGCAGCTGTCTAGACGACAGATCAAAGGAGGGAGTGGGATTAGAAAGATCTGTTCGAGGACTCTTGCAGGGAAAAAGGGGGAGAAGCTATAGGGTGGACTAAAGTGATGGTAGTGGAGGTATGATTTGGAGGAAGATCCGGTGAAGGGAACTTACTGATTTATCAGATACAGGAGATAACAGGACACAGTAATTGATGAGAAAGTCATCGAGCTGGGAAAGATTAGGGAAGGCACAGATTGGAAGAAATGTTAGGAAGGGCAGTTGAAAATGCCAGGTTTCTCCCTCCCCACTATTTTTCCACCAATGCAAATTCTTTGATTCTCCCTTCGACTAGTTTCACAGAGGGCATTCAGTGGAGGGTACAGATGGCTCTGCTTTCTAGCTCATTCTATCCCAAAGAAAGTGGACGTCTGGGACCTGCCTTTTTAAGGCTCAGATAGGCTGCTTCCCATGTAGGCTACCATTTTGCTGTGTCCTAGGAGATATCAAGCATTAGCTTTGAGTCACAGGGTTTTTGTTTCAAATTCTGGTCCTGCCATTTATTTAGATGTATGATATCATGTAAGTATCTTCTCTGAGCCTCTATTTCCTCCTCAGTAATATGAAGATGTCAGTCAATCTATAATGGATATTTATTGAAATGGCTGTCTTGTGTCCATTCTTTCCCCATTTTCATTCCTATGACAACAATATCACAATTTTGTTTTTATGGTCACCCTACCATTGGTTCTTGTGCTTTGGATGAGTTTGTCTCTATCCCTCCCCTCCAGGGTGCAACAGGTTAAACCAATCAGT